TCCAATTTTGAATTGTTTCTTGTGCAATTTTACATTATAACTAGAATCGAGTGATAATTTTAACATGATTCTGCGATATCACTTTATGTGATTAACGTCTGAAAGCTTTTGTTCCATCAGTTTGGTTCAATGTTGATTACTTTCACAACGGGCTAGCATCGTGGAGCATCCATCCAATTGGCTGGGGTGAACACATTACATTAACTGAGGTGTGTCTTATACCTATCTTCTCGGTTCAGGATGGTTATGCATTGCTCATCTGATAAGGATTTTGTTTCTGATTCAATACTCACGTTCTTGATCAAGACAAGCCCGATGTCCCCCTTCTGGAAGGTTTGGGTCGGTGCAGCCCTAAAAGCCTACTACCTTCTATTTGCCGTGGTTGCATTGTTCATTCATGCTTTATTTGGCCAAAAGATTCAATATTTTTTCAGTTGATCGAACAGTGTACGGAAATGTCAATGGATTTGGAGCGTGTTCATACGAAAGTGGATTCGCTGAATGGTATTTGTGCGCTCAATTGGACGAGTTGAGAGATGAACACGAGACAGCGGCCGTGAATCGAGTCACATCGATGAATCAGCTGCGGTATCCGAGCCATTCAATCTTCCACCGTGCTGCAGAACATCACGGAATGCAAGGTCTTCTTTGTTCACTTTAAATGAAACAGTTGTCATAACTATTGGAAAACAAACAATTAACACGATTTCCTTTTCAGGTGGCTTCTTGTAGCGGATTCAGAACACGGAGTCGTTGCCTTTTCGTCCGACAGAGAACTTCGAACTGCTGCGGCTTCCGATATATTGGTGGCTAATGCAACATTCAGCATTGCACCCCGCGACTTTTACCAAATTCTGACGGTTCACTGCAGGGTACATTTCCCTTTTACTTATTTTTTTACTTATTTTTACTTATTTACTTATTTTTAGTAAGATTCATTTTGCAGGTTTGGAATGACACCGGATATGAATGGGTGCCGTTTCTGCACGCTGCGATGAAAAATAAAATGAAGGAGTCGTATTCCATCATTTTTGGAGCGATGATTCGGCAGTGGCAAACAATGGGATGCCGCCTTTCGTTTCGCGTAGTGCAGACAGATTTCGAAGAAGCGATAATGAGTGCGGTGAGCGATAATTTCGGTGCTGAAGCCGTCAAGGGATGTCTGTTCCACTACAATCAGGCCGTTCTGCGAAACGTGCGAAAATTCGGTTTGACATCTGTTTACAATGAACGAGGTGTTATTCATCAGTGGATTCGCCGCATCTTAGCCCTTCCACTATTGCCAGAAGGTTGGTTCTTTTTTTTCAATGGTGCATTCGTGAATCTTACGATTCACTGCTCTGAACTCAATTTTACTTTCCCGTTTTCATCAACCTCCCTTACATTCTG